TTACGATGATTTGAATGTTCAGATACGACACGCGAACCAACAATCCGACAAACACAATCTTTTCAAGGTCCCCAACGAGAGATATCACACATTTTACGTCACTGTCCATTTCCGTTCATTCATCAGTGATGTTAATAACGTTTCACGAATATCTTTGTCCCGATATCGGGAGTCGTATATTTTGATTCAATCGATACGTTTCCTGCTTTCACGAAGAACACGAAAGGGTATACCGCGCTTCATACATACGTATATATTCAGTGTCGTCAACGTGATACCATTGACAAGTCGGTTCTCGGTGACACGCAACGATATGTAGCATTACCGTTATCAATTAAAGCGTGAATCTTGGGCGAGATTTCGAGGTACAGTGCTGCGCCCGAATATTCGGGCAAGTGCAATCGCGCCGCATTTACGTGACGAATTTCGCTCGCATTGTACCGCGGCAGCCGTGGCCGCGATTAATCTTTTCATACGGCGCGATGTTGCGTTTCAGCTTGGAATGTTCGTTGCGTTAATCCATTGACGCGCGGGCTGTTCGACTGACGAATAATGGACGCGAATTTTTCGCCCGTACCGTAGGTACTCTTCCATCTTTTGTTCCAACGACATTGTAAATAAATAATTGTCAGAAGTGTCGTTACAAATTACTCCTCCGATATGAGACTCCTTCATTTCGGAGCGTGTTACAGTAAGTCGAAATAATTGAAAGATGTTGGAGCCTGGAGGAAGTTCTTCAATACATGGAGAGAATTTTAGTTTGAAATTTACCCTGAAAATCATGTTAATTGTAGGACTACATAGTATTTTGAATTTTATATGATTTTTACTATTCTTTTTAATATACATAGGTATACACTGTTAAATCTATAGTGTCAAATTTAATCTTACTTAAGTCGCCACTGATTCTACATAATAAATCGTTATTTTTTACTAGAATATGGTCATTTTTTAAATAAAACAATGGAATTTAACCAAAATTTGGGTTAAATTTAAACTGTTTTAAATTACTTAACTCCACTGTTTTAGTTAAAAATAACTATTTATTAAGTAGGAGCAGTGGCGCGGCTTAACTAAGATTAAATTTGATACTATAGATTTAAAAATGTACTACAACAAATTTATTGTAGTGTACAATAAAATTTGTCGAAATACCGTGTTGTTCCACGATTAACAAAATTTTCAGGGTGAATTTTAAAAGGAAATTCTCTCCGTGTAGAGACGCGATTACTAACCGAAGATTTAAATCGACCGTGAACTCACACACCGTGAATTTAAACTTTCGACATTACAAGTGAGCCTCTTAAAAGTCAAAACTGACGATGAAGTAGGAAAAGAGGAAGAGAGAAGATCAATGTGGTCGCAAAGTTCGACCACCTGCAGTCATCTGGTGCTAAAATCACGACATTTACATACAAAAGAAAAGAATGATATGTGCGGCGATCCGAGTTGGCATCCGAGCGCGGAAGGCTCGTCCTATCCCACGCCAATCGTGGCGCGTGAATGAACGTGGACGTCATCCTCGCGCGCGTTTACAACATCCGGGGCAGCATTCGTCGAGGCGGGCACCGATCTCTCGCGGTTACCCGGCACGAGAGGGAATATACGTTCCTCTTCCATTCATCGGCGTTTCGCCAATAAGTGACAAGGTCGGCCATAGTCGCCCTGGACCCGGGCGCGACACACCGGCTCGGTGGTCCACGACGACGACGACGACGACAATCGTAACGACAACAATAATGACGACGAAAACGAGCAGTGTGTCAGCATCGCGAAATAACCGCGATGACGATCAAGGGGCTCTCGATCTCATTTCGGCGAATGCGTACACTCGCAAACACCTGTCAGCTCGCGGACGTCGAGGCGGGTCGAGGCGCGGGCCGAAGCGAGGGCCGGACGGGACGCCTGTCATCATAACCGCCGGCTTCGCGGTTACGCCTTCTCGGAGCGACACGGTGCCGCGTTCCTCCGGCTTGCAGCCTGCCTGCGGGTCGCGCGACCGCGACGAGAGAGTCCGGACGGACCTCGGGGGCACCGTGTGTCGCTCCGAGTGACACGCAACTCGTACAAAAGTCACACGCGCGTAATCTTCGTGCGTAGCCGAGAGAATCGTAGGGCGTGAGTTACGCGTGCACGACGACGACGACGACGACGACAGCGATAATGACGACGATACGCGACGATATGTACGGTGCAGCTCAGCTATCTGGTGCATCGTGTACAAGGAGAGAGAAAGAGAGAGAGACAGAGAGAGAGAGAGAGCGACGAACTAGCGAAGAGTAGTCTCGGCCGGATTCACTCACCGCGACGAGGGCTGCTAATCTATCCTTGGTCATGATGAAGGGTGACGAGGAGTTGCGAGTCAGCGGGCGGTGTACGGAGCGGCGTGTCTAGCGAGTAATCCCATTCACGGTTTTATCCATGTACGACGTGCACGTCCACTAAAAAACTAAAGGAAACGACGGACGCACTGGCACCGCGAGAGAGGCACGATCGTAAAATCGATACACTCGCGAACTCGCCTGCTTCTGCAGTGCCGTCCCAACGCGGCGCGCACGCGCCGATGACGTCAACTTCGTCCCGCAGGCACGGACGCCGCGCGCCGCGGCGCCCCTGCCCAGCGAACAGACATCGATGCGCGCGGAAAAAAAACCGTAACGCGAGAGAGAGAGACAGGGACACAATTAGAATTTCTGGCTCCTCACGTCACACATTCAGGGCTGGGCAAAATACGTCATTAAAGTTTTTGAAATACAAAATATAAAATGCTGACAATCCTGGTATTTGAATTACAAAATACAAAATACTTTCAATCTTTTGATTTGAAATACAAAATACAAAATACTTTCAATCCGGGAAAAAAAGTTTCATATATAATTATATATAATTATATGCAAAATATGTCCATGTTTCTTTCCTTTGTAAAATTATTCTTTAATACAAAATTGATAATAATAAGAAGGAAACATAA